TACTCTAATGCAACTCTTCCCTACTCGCAAGATCAACCAAAGAGAAAATTAAGTTGGTTTCTTAATGGCTTTTCAACACGATGCTTTCGCTACTGTATAACCTTATACTTTATTTAAAGAGGTATCAATCTAGCACTTTTATCTTCTGCAGTTTCCTCTTTCGAGTGTATTTCCTCGATATGCATTATGAAGTATTCGATATCCTGTTGAAATAAAAGATACCCATTGCTTATGTAAATGGTGTTCATTTAAAATTTACATCGCGAAAGTACGCTAAAGTTCGTTAACTTCAATCAAAGCTTCAACGTGGATTTGACAATAGTTTTTTTTTGGTTTACCGAAAGCTTTTTTGAATACAATAATCAGACCGTGAGCGCCGTTTCGGATTGATTGATATACACAGGTAATTAACCTAAATTATTCCTCTCGGGGAACGATTTTTCATAATTCAATGGATCGACCGAAAAAAATTATCCCAAGGTCCATTAATCAAGCGGAGTTATTGGATTTCGGCGAGCGTTTACCTCAACATGCATCGTCGTTAATTAAAAAGCAATCCGCCGGTCAATATCTGATCTTTAATTTTTTTAGCAAATTTCGTAATTATGTTAAATTCCCCAACACCGCGAGTTGTAAATTAAAATTTTAGAAACCCCCGGATAATGACGTTGTTAGTCAGTCTTGTTCCCTTTAGCCTTACACCCATTAATAAATATTCCCTTTATCCCACACAACTGTATTCACTTGACGCTTTAAATCTCCCGAATTTCCGAATATTAAAAAAGTTCGCCGAATAAACATGTCCGAGTCGAATGAGATATATTAGGAAAATATGATAGGGAGAAAATATGTGAAAACGAGGTTGTAACGGCGGGAGGTCCGAAGGGTTTATTGCAGGAGTTTGAGCGAAAATTAATTATTTCAAAGTAGCTAAAGTTTTACTATATGTTTCGCTTATTATGTCCGAGATTATTTCTAATTCCGCCACTTCTTCGTGGAGTAATGGCAGTATTTCAGGAAATCATACGGGGAATGACGCCGTAATCGGCTTAGAAATAATTCTCTATCGAATAGAAGACGGAAAAAGGCCCTCATAAATCAGGATCAGATCGATATGGAATTAAGTAAGATAACTGGTTTTGTTCCTCTTGTCGATGCAGGAAGGGACATCTCGGATGGTATCCGAGTCTCTGGGGGCGCGAGGGCGTAATTCGAAATATACGTGGTTGGAAAAAAAATATAATAAATATAAAATAATAAATAACAGGTGTTCAAACTAGCCATCCAATTGGTCCTTAACTAGAAGTTTAATGGGGATTCGAAGGACTCTCTTGGATTGTGAAATAATTCTACAGCAATAGTTCGAATTGCTTTAGTTTCTTTGTAGTTCGAAATCGATCAAATGGTACATTTTTTATTTGCGATTGTAGCCATTCTAAAAATAACGGTGCGATAATTCAGTCGAGTGACAAGAGAAGTTTAGGTGAGGTTAAAGACAAAGGGCCTTTAGTAAAATTAGGGAATAAGGAAAGTGCTCATAATGAGAGACGAAAGTCGACAATTCGGGCAGATATTCATCAAGAAATGTGCTGTATTTGAATACACAACGCCATGTTTTGGCATAATAATAAGAGGAATGGTCAGAGTTTGTTAAAAGGTGGCCTTTTGTAAAGGACTTATTATGTAATTTTTTTTAAACATTAGGAAATTACTAAATATCTGGTATATATGCTTTATCTTTGTGGTCATTGGTTTGTGGTGTGGTCTCTGTGGTCCTCTTCCCGACTATTTATACATTCAATAACTAATAAATCATTTTTAACAGAAAAATATTTCTAGCAATTCTCCTAAAGAAAGGCAATTACAAAATTGTCCGGCGTTGTTTGAATTATACTGCACAGTGCTTTAGTCACTTTGCAATCTTCTTTTTATATGGTTTTTAAACTTTAGCAGTAAATCCTTCTCTTAAGATCCGTATATAAGATTCGTCCTGTTTTAAATGATATGTAGAAACTGACAAACATTTAAAAGACTAAACAAAATTAACATCTTCACTATTCCAATTTAATCCAAAAATCGTCCTGTTTAAAATGATATGTAGAAACTGACATACATTTAAAAGACTAAACAAAATTAACATCTTCACTATTCCAATTTAATCCAAAAATCGTCCTGTTTAAAATGATATGTAGAAACTGACAAACATTTAAAAGACTAAACAAAATTAAAATCTTCACTATCCCAATTTAATCCAAAAAATAACCTACCGTTTCCTCACGACGATCTTGATCCCCAAATCATCTTCGACACTCTCGAAACAGAAAGTTTCAATTTCAGTCTAGTTACAAAAATCATTTTCCCCTCCAACCGGGCCAGATATAAGAACCTCGACTAGCATAACAAGACACATTGTCGCCGACGATACAACAGGATGTAAATGGTGGTGGATGGGGCCATCATTTCCATTTAAATGGAGTCTCGTAGATGCGGATATTGCCGGTCTTTCTTCTTCTTCTGCAGCCACATTTTCGGCTCCGACAACGGAACAATTCCCGGTGACAAATGGATCTGGAGGCGAGATATGCAGATTCGCCTTGCCAATGGGGAATGGGCCGTTTTATTTTTTTGCGCAACACCGGGACAGCCCGATAATTTCGGATTAGAGTAATTTCCGATTGTTCGTTTCATCTACAGTGCATTTAGAATAAATTCGATGGCAACAAACAGCGCTAAGAACCAATTAATTTGCCTAATGTAATATGACAAAATTCGCCGAAGCTCCTTTAATAAATCACCTTTCAGACAGAATGTAATCCAGCTTAACGGATCGCAAAGAACCTGCCGATCTGACTTAAGAAATCCCCCATTCAATCATCGGCGCTCCGAAGGGACCTTATCTCGTTATAATTGTAAGGAATATGGAGTTATTGGAGTTCAAAACGGATCTGCAATGGATCATATTCTTCTACATTTCGTTTTCTCCATAGTTCAATTAATATATTATTGTTTTAAAGTTATCTACAATATTATAAGTATTATTCGTTCGGGCAAAAGTTGGTAAGCGTTTAAAGTTCATGACACACATAAAAGCTATTCAACTGATATTTACACACTTAATTTCCATAGTTTGAGGGAGCAAACATTGGAACAAATTAGTGGAAAACACAAGGGAAGTGCTTAGCTGTTTGCAACGGGACAACTCCACGTTATTAAAAAGTCATTAGGTGGATAATGTACCGAAAATGTACACTATTTTTGTTCTAAATATTTACTCTAATAACACCGCGGTTGCTCCGGTGTAATTTTGTGTGTACATTTTATTGTAACGATTAATTCAACAATTATCCTGACTCTCAAAAAGGTGTCTAATAAGTTATTTCCTACAGGCAATTTTTTCTTTTAGAGTAATTTATTATATTAAAATAGCAACCTAAAAGCTTTAAAATTTCAAGCTCTAGAAGGCTTTATGCAGATGTATTCAGAACTAAATGATTTGCATTAATTTAAAGAGAGTACCGTACTTATTTGCCCATTTATTTGAAAGGTTAGTAGCATTCATATTTAAATGGAGATCTCCAGATTGAAAAAAGAAAAGCACTCGAAAAAGAGGAAAACTTGTCAGCCTTAATTTATTCAAATGCCAAACAGGATTTCGCCCGTAATGAATTCGCCGTAGGCAGGTCGATAAGGGAAATAATTCCTAATAAATTTTCTTTCTTTTAGAATTCGAACATTTAGTTTCACTATAGAAATAAATTATCTAAGTAGATTAAAGAATTAAAAATATATTGCTAACTTCATCCCAAAAAAAATGATCGATATAATGGCGCTAATTACGGTGAAACTTAGTATGTTTCTGGCTCAATGAACTTTAATACTTCCAGATCAAAACTTCTGAATTACAGCTCAATATAACTGTCCATTCTCATCGAATCGAATTAAGAAAGCCGATTTTATAGCCCTCGAATATACCGCACCGAGCATTCGGCGATTCCATTGTAACAAATAGCCCTTAATTAAATTTTAAACAACTTAAATTAACTCGGGTAATGCGTAAAAGTACCGGCGCTATGTTTATTAGCTCGTATATTTCGATTAGCGAAATTGGTTCTATCTTGATAAAACAGCTCTCGAGTCGAGAGAAGTTGCTGTTTCTCCGGCTCTCGCTCCGGGATAAAACAAACTTACTTGAGTAATAAGGAAGATGTATGTGGGAATTTGTTTCGATTCGAATGCATTCCCTTATCGGGCTTTGGATGTTTTTTACTACCGCCCTTTTATGGGAATTTACAAAGCAATGATTAGTTCTGAAATATTCTGAGGTTTACTTATTCCTTTGCGGTTAAAGGGATGCCTTATTGTGAAACCGGAAACCTTTTAATCGAAGTTTACGTGGAGTATCGTCGATTTAAGCGAAGAATGTCTTTTGCTTTATACATACAAAATTTTTGTTAACGGAGCGTTTCGTTCGAAGAATGCTCTTTGATCAATCAGGCTTCGGGAAATCCTCAAGTGTTGGATTTTAATAGAAAAGGAACCGTTTCATTTGCATCTTTTTCCGTTATTTGCTGCTGATTTCAAAGGAACATTCAACAATCTGCAGATATAAAAATTACGCTGTTAAACTCCCCGAAGTGTAAATCAATTATGTTTTAACAGGCTACATTAGAGATGTAGCCACTATGATGAAGCGAATGTATTATGCATCCAACGTTGATAACATGTAGTACCTTTGGGAAATCTAAAGCAAGATACTTCTATAGAAACGAAAATAACTGGAATACAAACATAAGAGTCTGGTATTGTTTTGAATTAAACATTTAGGGGTTGTTTGTGATGTGATTACCACAGATTGTGATTGGAAAATTACTTGTAATAGTACACTAGAAGAAGATAGAAATGATGTTATAATTCCTACCGATTTATTTAAAATTTATATCAAGACAAATTCGTGTTTCAATCGATGAATTGGCCGACAAGTTGGCATACTTTTGGAAGCGCAAAATCGGAATTAGGCGCCAAGACGTCGCGACCGATATCCTGCTTCTCCCATTTCATGTGCATCCAGGAAAAGTCCTTTAAATTCCACCGAATCCTCGACGAATTCAATTGTAGATACCGAAATCGACGATTTTTTACTTGCATTATTAAAATCGTTAAAATCGTCGCCAGTGCGACCTGAAGTTGTTGAGAAAAAGTGGGTGTTAAAATCGAGAGTAATTATCAGGTAAGTTGAATGATTACTAATACATTCATATGCATTGAAATAGTGGTATAAAGAGGATAAAATTGATACAACTAATAATGATTATTGTACTAAAATTATTGACTCTAAATGAAACTATCCTATTCAGGTATCCTCATTGTAGGTTAAATGCTCTAAAACACTCTATTTGAAACACTTTAGGAGCAACATGGCGTCTGTTTACAAATACAGGAAACACTCGCTCGAATCGGCTATTTCAATGTTGTTATTAACGTTAACGTTATTCGTAATAGTACCCTTAACAACATCACTCAGTACAAACGGATCTCTTCATAGAATGCAACAATCAGGTTAGTAAATTCATTATCATTGTTAGAGTTTTCTTTACTGGTAACATTTTTGACATTATAATTTCAATGCTTCAATAGATCCTGTACAAGCGCCTTTAACCATAAATTTTCCTGCATAAATCCCAATACTACGAATTGAAATATGGCATAATGTCTGTGCATAAACAACTTTGAGCCTCATATTCGCTTTCATCTTATGCAGGAGGCGTATCTCATCGAATTAGTTTTCAGCGCAGTTTCGGTTAAAATGTTAACTTCACTTCCATCGGGTTCTCTTGTGGGATTGAAAACTCTCAGCTGTAAAGGGTTTACCGATGACCATTAATTTAATTTGAGCCCTTTTAGTAACTTTATATTTTTTCGCCAGTGTTTACCTAAATTACTACAAAATATATTAATGAAAGTAAGTACAAAGTAAGCTTTTTTTCTTGTGAAACTCGATCATTTTGCATGTTTCTATTCAGATAATTTCCTAACTAAAAAAATCTTTTCAACTGTGCTTATATGCGCCGGTATTCGGTCGAAACTTTCCGGAATACTTTTTAAATTAATTCCGCGCTTTTATATTTCGTGTATTAACCATCTAAGCTCACTTATTTGAGAACTTACTCCACCGAAAAATAACTTGGAAACTAGACTAACACCGACGCTCCGGAAGAAATACTTTTAAGCTAATTTTCCATGAAAATTGCTTTCCAAACTTCCACGGCATTAAAATATGTATGGCGGTGAAATTTTCGACGAATTTTTTTTTATTTTCCGCTCGATGCGGAAACGGGTTTTCTACCGCGCTAAATATTTCTTTGCAAAAATAAAACAAATACGAAATTTGTAATCGTTTTCGGTTTAAAATTTCAATTCCAAAATAAATTAGGTACTTACAGTTTAACACCTACTTTTCAAAAACTTCTCTCGTTTTGAAAATTAACTATTTAGTGGAAAAAAAACACACCTCCATTAGATTAATCCGAAAATCCCGAATCAAAGGCGAAAACCCGCCGAGATGGCATATAAAATTTAATCCGGGAGTCGGGTAATCGCGCGTTCCGGAACATTTTCGACTAAATTCAACTATCCATATTCCTTGTTCAAGTTAAACGTAAGTTCAATAAAGTTTGATGGAATCGGGATAGGCTTCGTTAAAATAGTTAGACCGCTTTAGAGTGCAGACAGAAACTCATAAACCTAATAGTTACATCAGCGCCATTAGATCCGGCGGTTATTTCGAGTAATTAGTGAATAAATCGGGTTATATAGCTCGAAAACAACCAAGGGAAGCTCTTGGTTATGGAACTGTTGAATGATAGTTTGGGATATTTTCGAATATATTTTGCTAAATATGCAACAATTAGAGCACATTTTCGATCGTATAACAAATAGATAAATGCAGATAAATAAATAATCATGAATAGCTAACACTACTGACGTCTGGTTTCGAATTTATAAAGACTATTTCAGTAGAAACAAGGATTCTTTGGAATGGATCTAGTGTTATAGAAAATTTAGACCGTCTCTAAAAGATGGCTCTACGAACAAAAATCGATGAAGCTCTCTCACCAAAAACCTTTACATTAGCAACGTTTTAAGAGTATTAATTTTTTTTTGGGATTTTATGTTACAGGAAAAGAAAACCTTACACATATAAGAGAAAAAAGGAGGCCGGTGGATGCGAAAACTTCATCAATTTTACCCAAACGTCGCATTCCCGTTGTGAAAGCTCAAACGAGGTCTAGAGCTAAATTACATTGCAACATATCCGAAATTAACGAACCGGAAAATCTGACGGTAAGAATAATTGAATCTATAAACCCAAAATTCCTGAGGAAACTTAAACAATTTTTAGCCTTTATTTTCCAACAATACTTAAAATATCATTAAACTCAATTCTCAATGTTATAAAAATATATCTTATACTTATTAGTGCTTACTAAAAACACAGTTTATTAGTAACATTCTTCTTCTGCATCTTCATCTTTCACATCCATTCGACAGTTATGGCAGGTTGCAACCCTATGGCAATGTTTCAAGCAAACGAATCTTTGACAAGTGCTACAAATGATAGTAGTTTTGGTATTTTTATGCAAACCGCATTCATAACAAGGTCCTTTCCCGCCCAATTTCACCGATACTACTACAGTTTCCACCTTGTAGCCCGAAAGGAACTCTTTAACATCCTTAGGAAGACCTTTGAGCTGCGCTCTGGATCTCAAATGCTCCTGCAACAGCTGAAAGGCCAAGTTCGAGAGGAATTGTCGTCTGTTGGGCTTCTTCGGGTTTTGGTTGAAGTTGTAGACTATTTCCGAGTTAATTCCTGCTATGTCTAGCATTCGGAAAAATACAGCTAAAGACCATCGTTTGGTAATTCTTTGCGTTGTGAAAGCCGAGCACATCGCGTCGATATTATCGACGATATTTTTGGTTTTGTGGTATTTTAGAATAACGTTCGGAGGTTTGTCTTGTGTTGATGATAATAGAATTAATGGTTTGTTCATTTTCGTTACATAAGAAATGAGGGTTAAATCGTCCTGATAACCGACGAGGAAGGAACCCACTGGTCCCGATTTTTCTGGCAGAAATTCCGGTGGGATTTCCAATTTATTTTTTTTAACAACCGCTATTGTTCTGATATCAGCATCTAACAAATCTTGAATTAAATTGTAACTCGAATAATATGCATTAAGTGTTAGATATCGATTGGAATTCTTCAGAGGTTCCACTAATCTTTTAACCACACAAACCGGATTGTTGGAGAAGAAATACTGGCCTTGTTTTTGTATCGGGCAACAAATTTCGAAATTCCATATGTAATTGGTATTACAATCTGCTAGTGTATATAATTTTAAACCGTACTCCTGGCGTTTTCTCGGCATGTATTGAATAAAACCGCACCTGCCTCGATAAGGCAACAGCATGTTATCAACAGTCACCGATTCGCTTAGAGTGTAATTCGATTTGCAATTATCGACGAATTTGTTGTAAATTTTTCTAATCGCTGCTAATTTATCGGCTTCTTCTTTAGCTACACGCTCCCTGTAATCCTCAAAACGGAGTACTCGAAGGAGGAATAGAAATCGTTTGTAGCTAAAAGCTGCTCTGAGTAAAATCATTCCAGTCCCATCTCTCGACCATAAATCGATAACGCTGTTATTGTTGTTTCTCTTTGCCGCTATAATAAATAACACTCCGATAAGTCCTTGGATTTCGGAGGCCGTTGTAAACTTGTAATCCCTTTCTCGGCTCAGCTTCAGTTTAAATTTCTGCTTCTGGATGTAGATGTTGGTGTATGTTACGATGGATTCGATCATTTCGTTGGAAACGAACTTCAGGAACGCATCCGATTCGGTTTTGGTATTTTTAGCTTGCGGAGTAGTTCCCGACAGTATTTTTATTTTGCTCTGTCGCCGGTTTTGAACAGCCTCCGGGCTGCTCACCCACAACGTGGTGTCGTCCTTGCCGATGTAAAATTTGTAATCCTCGCCCGGTCGTTGTTCCGCCAGTTCTTGGATTTTCTCGCTGGTGCTTTCTTTGGATGTCTCCGAATCGTCGCTGTATTCGTCTTGGTTGATGGTTTCCTGTTCGCCTTCGCTGTCGTCGCTAAAATCGCATTGTTCTTCTAATGCATCGGAATTGTTACCAGTTTCTTCGGATTTGTACTGGCAATCCCTGTAAATTACAAATAATTGGATTGGTATCTACTAGATCCTTAGAATAGTAGGCTAGAATTTGGTTTTAGCTTGAAGGTAGAAGAGTCTTTGTTCTGCATCCATATTGATGATATTGTGAGGGATCAATCGATGATAAAACAGTTACAATAACTTTCTTTATGTTCTAGTTTTGTGCTAGTTCAAATTCATACCGATAACGTTAATAACTTTAACAGTTCGAGTACTTTCAGTTGATGCAATGTTTACACTTACATGGTGATAGAAAGGCGGTCTTGCGGTCCGCAATTCGTTCGTATTTCGCCACTAAATAATCTATTAACTGCGTCATATATTAAAAAACGTTAGCGTATTCTCGTTTGGTGCGATCAATAACCTTTGGAGCGGTTGCCTCCGGTCCCTGGGACCGCTTGCGCTCATGGAGAGGGAATTTCAACCATTTCTATTCGTCAACCAACTCGAATTTTCGATTTAACAAGGTCAAATCGATAAACCCGTTTGGGCAGCATCTGCTAGTTGGCGCTGCGTTGTTAACAGATTTTAACTTACAGTTTTGTTGGTGATCGATGTTCGAGTTTCTGCATGTACTGTTCAGATGGAGCTGAAAGAGTTTCGTAGAAAACTGTCTTTACTGGTTCGTTGTTTGAAAGTAAATTATAGAGAGGATACTGATGCATAAAAATCACAGAATAATGTTGATAAAAAGAATACAGGGAGAAACAGCACTGATGCTTTCTGGTCTTTAGCAATTTTCTGTTTATTGCAGTGCTAGGTTTGCTAGTTTGAAAATGTGTACCTAAGCATAATTTCTTTTAGCTAACTTGGACAAAGAAAACCGACAATAACGAATACGTGAATCTCACCAGTTTACAATTGGAAGAATTGACTAATAACGAAACTATAACAGTTAAAGAAGATGATAAACGTTATTTAGCCATACGAAAGGGCAGCGTAAGTATATAATTGAACATTCGTTAAATTCATACATTTCAAATTTACATTTAAATCGGAACTGGAAACAAAAAACGCCGATTTTTAAAACGGTCACGATTCACCCAATTATTGCAAAGGCAATTTAAGCAGATTATGAAGTTTCCGCTCGAAATTAACTCAACCCCATTCGAGCTCTGCACGGTGTACATTTCACTTTCCCATAATCTGGCTAATCTGATAACATACCGTTCCAGGATTGGTGTCTACATATAAGATACACGTTGAATTCGGATGGAGGCTCTTACCAGTGCCAAATATGCCACGGGTTTCCTCCAACTAAATGTTCCACATCCAATGTTGTCTTAAAATTAATTGGTGAGTCTACAAGTAACTGGGATAAATATTTGTAGATGATTAAACATTGCGATTTTTTTGGGGATTATTTTTTTGCATCAGCATGTAAATCGGCCGGTTTAATTCCACCTCTAACACCAGTTATTGTTTCATTTTTGTCGATTTACGCGTCCACATAGCTACCACTATTCCACATTGCCTTTTATCGCTGAATCTATTAAACGAAACTCGACTAACTACAAACGGATTTTAAACTTGATTATGACGCTTTTGCCGACGATAATGGCATCGTTGACCGCAAATTACATTGTTTCTTTATGAAAAATTCGACCGAAATTACCGTTCGATTTACCCACATGGATTTTATCCACGCCGAATTGCCGCTGTGTATTCGCTCGATGGAATATTTTTAGCTGCAATATCTTCATCGCTAGTTTTCTATTCATCTTCAATAAAGGACTAATAGCGACTTTATGAAAGTGTCGTTTAGTTAGCAATTCATTAGCGTTTATTAGTCGCAACTCAAAGCAAGTGGAGTTTCATTTTGCAAACGCATTAAAACTATTACAAAAGCATCGAAGTATACAAATTCATAGTACCTACTTCCTTACACGAACTCAAATAGTTAACTTCAAACAATATTAATTAAAATACTAGTTAGTAGTAAAGCCTCATCTGCTTCTATTCCTCCATCTCCCATGAAGTACCTGCAGGGTTTCTAGTTGCAGAAGCAACTGGAGTTTTATTTTGCAAACGCATTAAAACTATTACAAAAGCATCGAACTATACAAATTCATAGTATTTATTAAAACACTAGTTAGTAGTAAAGCCTCATCTGCTTCTATTCCTGCATCTCCCATGAAGTACCTGCAGGGTTTCTTGTTGCAGAAGCAACTGGAGTTTTATTTTGCAAACCCATTAAGACTATTACAAAAACATCGAACTATACAAATTCATAGTATTTAATAAAATACTAGTTAGTAGTAAAGCCTCATCTGCTTCTATTCCTACATCTCCCATGAAGTACCTGCAGGGTTTCTTGTTGCAGAAGCAACTGGAGTTTTATTTTGCAAACGCATTAAGACTATTACAAAAGCATCGAACTATACAAATTCATAGTATTTATTAAAATACTAGTTAGTAGTAAAGCCTCATCTGCTTCTATTCCTACATCTCCCATAAAGTACCTGCAGGGTTTCTTGTTGCAGAAGCAACTGGAGTTTCATTTTGCAAACGCATTAAGACAAACAGTTAACTTCAAACAATATTAATTAAAATACTAGTTAATAGTAAAGCCTCATCCGCTTCTATTCCTCCATCTCCCACGATCTACCTGCAGGGTTTCTGATTGCAGAGGCCCACGCGAAGATCATCGGGGGCCCCACGAAGTTCATACCGAGCGACAAGGAGCTGCCCCTCCGCTTGAGCTGCGTCCTGGTGAATTCGATCGAAGCGCCATCGTACATATTTTGGTATCACGAAGACAGAATGATAAACTACGACCTGGAGGACGGGGCGACCGTTCGCGAGGGGCCCCAAGGGAGCGAGTTGATCTTTCCGAAACCGAACAAAACGCACGTGGGGAATTATTCGTGCGTGCCCTCCAACGCGCAGTTAGATAGTGTCATGGTGTATTACGGAGGTAAAGATAAGTTGATCAAAGAATGGAAAAAATTGTGGGAAATTGCTTGGGTAGATGTCTTAGAAATGGAGGAAGAAAATGAGATTGTGTATGCTTAAATTAGTCAAGCGAACTCGGAGAGATTAATTAGTTTTTAGCGAAACTTTATTAATGTTTGATTCAGTAAACGCTTGGATTATGTCCAAGTAGTCATAGAGGCACGACGAATCTAAAACTTACACTAAAGTGTAATTAATTAGAGCTGAATTTAAGAGAGAATGGGACCAAGAAAAATCCTGTTTCTAAAATAATTATTTCTTTGTTGTTTGTGGTAACCTTTTGTTGGAAAAATTGCCGCTACCGCTGGTACTAAAGCTCGAATTTAGGGGGGAAATATCGCGCCTAATGGAAATTTCATTAATAACCGGAAATCGGGGAATGTCCGGTAATAAATTGCCGAGTAGAATGTCTTCCAAAAAGCGATCAAATTAAAAGTTTCTGTAAATGTGCATAATCTTTCCTCCGACGAATCAGATAACTTAATTCTAATTAGAACAGAGGGAAAAGTTCATACAGAAAAATTTACCGGTATTAAGGAAGATGCCGAGCATCCGGAAATTACGATAAAAATATTTGCAAACTCTGGAAAGTTAAATTAATTTCTTTTAAGCGATATCGAATTGATTTCGTTCTTACTTCAAAAATGTTTCCAATTATTGTTGAAACAATTAGCGTTGAATCCTCAAAATTTGGAGCAGTATTCGCGTTTTATCGTTACTACAAATGTTCAAGAGATTCATTCGCCGGGTAAACATTCTTCTAGACTAATTTCGATGCTAATGAAGTTTAATCTCTCGAGTAACTTGGCAATTGCGGACCTGTACAGCATCCAGAAGAAAACGAAATAAGCGATAAAAACGTACTTAATAACATTAAATTAATAAGTTTCAAGGAGCTTAATTTTCAAATTTCTTACAATTTAGCATGTTTCAGATGATACATCTGTTCGATCCGGTGGAAATGGCGTTGAAAAAACGCTACCAGGAGATCATGTCGTCAATATGCTGGTCTTGATGTCGGCCTTTCACCTCTCAAAATGACTTTACAGAAGGTAAACGTGACAACAATGCAAATGTCGGATGTTTAGCTAAAGCAAACCGGCCTGGATATTACAAAAAAAATTGTAAAGAAAATGAAATATGTGATATATACTGTAAATAAAATTACCTAATCAGATTTTGGTATTAATAATCGATTTACTTGAGAAATAATTTAACTTTTTTAATCATCTACAATCTGTGTAATCTTGTTATGCATTGAGCTTTGAGTTGTAGTTAGAAGATGAATTATTTGGTAAATAAAAGACAACGGTATATTTTATTGTTTTTAATAAATAAATATTTTATACACTTACATGTTGGAATTCAATAAGTAACTCAACAATGATTTTAATCTTAACAATTTTAAGGAACGTACCAACATTGTAAAATGAAACAATTTAACCACTTTTCTATAGAATATATGGGTGAGTATATCAATAAATCCATTGATATAATTATTGTGTATGTAGGTATTTATGTTTATTTAAAATGACATGTATACATGATTAAGTTATATGTATCGATAGGTTCTATTCTATCCAGATATCCATTTTCTGCATTATTATAAAGATTTTATATATTTACAGTAGGTTTTTATTATTATCAATTGCGAATACTGCTGAATTAATCCAATAAGGATGACTTACCTATTTAAATTATTGATATTTATTACCAACAATAATAATTTTATAAGTAGAAAAATTAACAAGATTGACAAGAGCTCTACAATAATTATAATATAAATAATTATACAGAACATTTCGAATGCACAAAATAGATATCTTTGTTTAACAATGGTTAACTATGTACATAGAGGTTTTATCCTTTTTTAGCCAAATTACAACTTCATATAAAATAGTGTTTTGTGTAATATTACCTAAGATTTTATAGATATTTTATAAATAACTCAATTCAAAATAAAAATCTAAACTATTGCGCAATTACCTCAGATTACACAATACCTCAATAAACAATTTACAATAAAACTAGACAAATATATTTTTAATCAAAAAAATTTAAGCAGGTAACTTTGAACTTGGGAATATTAATAACAATTTTATGTAATGAATGAAGTCCCTCTGATATTTGCAATTTCCTAATAAAATTACATATTTACATAATTCAAAATAAAAAAAATGTACCTTAAGCTTCTCATTTTGGCACATCGAATTTGATAAAAGAAACCTGTTTTATTGATATGAGTCTGTAACAAATAACGAAAAGTATAATTCAATAAATTAACTAATTTAATAACTGTCTAATACATCATGGTTTTTTCATTGAATACAATAAATACATATTAAAAAGTCTTTACATCGTTTGGAATATCTTATCATCTCTTTAACTCATCACCCAAAAGTTAATCTTCTTGGATAGTTGAATACTCCAGTATCACTTTCTTAAACATTAACTTCACTACCGGAAAAACGTTTACTAATCGATAAATTAGCACCAAATTATGATGATGGAAAATATTAACAACCAAGAAGATGGACTGCATTGGAGCCACGAGAGGCCTCTACCTCCATGTTGCATTGCTGCCGGATTCTCACCTGCAAATATAAAAAAATAATAACCTAAAAAGTCTTTTAATTTTAAGTTTTTATATGTAAATAATTATTTTGTTTCAATGTTTCTGATTATATCATATTTGAGTAGCAGGATGTTTCCTTTTAATTTCTCGAGGGAATGCTTCATGAGTTTTTAATTTTGTTCAAACTATTAAGGCGTCGAGCAACTTTTAGCGAAGTAATAAAACCTGGTGTGAAATTTCCTTCATTCCATATTTATGAAACAGTTCTTTTTGGTTTTTCCAGCGGTAATTTAGTCGGGAATTACGCGTATGTAAATTACCGGTAAAACAGCTAATTTGTGCTTCTTATTTCATTCATCTGCAGGGATATTCGTTTTTGTTTCCAGTCGAAGTGATGTGAAAAAGCGAACGCTCCAGTGCCACTAGTGGTTTATCTGAAATTTTCATACTTTTCATTTTTGCACGTCGTTTATCAAAGTCTCTCCACCGGAGGGCGTATTTTCCAAATAACGTCAACTTTCATGTTGGAATATTTATAGGACGCAATATTTCTTGTCTGAAAAATTTGCCTCATTTTAAGCATTTCTGCGGCAAAGTCTCAACTGCAAAAGAATATACCCATCTACTTTCTGTAATGGAAAAGAATTTGGTGTCGTTTCAACCTATTAACTTATACATTTTCCAGGGGTTCCCTTAAACATAATTGAACTAATAACTTTTCCTACATACAAACACCTCGATTTTTTTGTTTACAACTACCCCATTTTGGGCTATGCAATCGTTCTGAATTTACAGCGACGCTTTTCCCTAGACAGGAGTCAAAATAATTCTTCCATCGCCATGAAACGGAGCATTAAGTCGTCTTCAAATGGCTTTTACTTCAAACTAAACTCGCCGATATTTCACCCCAGGAATGTTTTTTGTTTGGGAAATGCACGGTTCGGTTTTTATCAGTACCGGACTGGTGGAATTTCGCCCTTTTATAGCCAATAGTTGGCGCGATAGAGATAGTGTTTTGGATGCTACGCTGCTTCCGACGATTTTACTTGAAAAATACTAACAATAAGTTGGGTTTTAGTTTAGATATTGGTGATTTTTTTGCTGGCAGATCTGGCATCCTCCAAACATTTTTATGGCGATGTGCCAGTGAAAGGAAAACCCCATTGGTGAAATATTCGAATTACAAACATTCGAAACAGGGTCACATCTTTACTACTAATAATCGAAATGTATCGAGTAACAAACAATAAAAAATTAAAACTGTCTATTACTGCATAGCTCCTTGAATATTCTAATGAAGCAATTAAACTTCCCCGAGCTTCTGCTTGGTTAAATCCAACCCTCTGTTCGAGTAAAAATGAAAACAGACGATGATAATGTCCGCCTAATGCTCTAAACGTTCCTCAGGAAAAAAATAATGCATTATCATTATGCGAAAACATACCTAACTGTCGACTATATATCACATTCTGGAATGCAACGTAGTGATAGCGATTCTAAATTACTGCTATTACCGTAAAACACGATGCATGCTAAGTAGACTGAACATGGAAAGAAAAATCGTAATACAACTCTAAACCTGATGAAAAATATTTTCGGTTTTCGTCATAAATCACTTTTGAAAATTACTTACAAGTTGTTAAAAACACTTTTTTTAGTATGTTATTAGTTTTCTGATGTTTAAAAGTATAACATTTGTTCAAACACACGTTCAAAAATTAAAATTAAATAAATTAAAACGCTCAAATCGATGTTGTATTATTTAGATTTTAAAAAGCATAATGGATATGTGTTTATTATTTATTATAATAATGCATTATGTCCATTTAATGCTAATAATATAATTAAAAGCATTGTTTACTTACCACTCTATTTGCTTTATCATTATTATTATTATTATATTCTGTTTTTTTGCTTTGTAAATTTTGTTGTGAAAACTGAGAAATATTCATAGTGGGTGTTACTAAATGTTTCTAAAACGTTAAGTAAATGATTCATTATTCATAAAATAAAGAAATCTTTATTTCCTTTACCTAGAGCTTATAAAAACGTTCATCTTCCAAAATCAATTTAGGAGCTCATCGATTAAAAGGTTCCCGTTATAGACGATCATTATCAAAAGATCAAAGCACAGCTTTTAGGACCGATGACAGAGGACTTGTTACGTTATTAATGTGTACTTTAAACTTCGAAAAAAAAAAATCAAAGATAACGTTCGAACGGGTTTCTTAAAAAGCGATTTTCGAAGTAGTACATCTTTTGGAAAACGGTGTTTTATAGTACATGTAAGAAAGGCGAGGTTCTAGTTAATTCTCTCTACCTTTAGCTACAAAAAAATGCCTAATAAATCTGCACTCACCATTGAGGATGTGCACGTAAGTGCTAGCAGGCTGGGCGTTGCTCGGAACGCAGGAATAATTTCCTGAGTGACGAGTATCGGCGTTGGTTATTGTTAATATGCTCATTTTCTCGACGAGATCTGTTGTCACGTTGATGCCTCGATCCACATCGTAGTTGATCATCCTGTTGTTGTGATACCAGAAAACGTAAGAAGGCGGCTGGAACAAATCGAAAACAAATTGGCTCAGAAAAGCTCAAAAACGCTGGCTTTTCGAATCGAATGAATCGCGGAATTCGGTCGAAAAAAATTTCCTGGAGCTGGTAAATTATGTTCAATGTGAAAGAGCAATGTTTCTGTTATTTCTGAAGATTTATTTGTCGTGAATTAGATTTGTTATTCACGATTAATAATTCATTGGAGCAACAGTTAGTAATGCAAAAAATGTATAGAGAATCACTTCTTAAGAGCTATTACCTTTGAAATTTAGAAACTTGCAATTAATCTGTATAATTTTATTTTCATAAATCCTTCGACCAGCATGCATGTTTGATACAGTGAAGTAAATTAGATCTGTTATTCACTTATTATACAGTTAATAATGCAAAGAAATGTATATAGAATCACTTCTTAAGAGCTATCACCTTTGAAATTTACAAAAAAATGCAATTAATAAATATAATATTTTCATAAATCCTTTACAGATGCAAACATATCTGCATGCATGTTTAATACAGTGAAATCAAAAGCAAATACACCAATCAATAACCGAATCCCCACATTATTCACTACTTTAATTATAAACATGCATCCACAGTATATAATCCCATAGATCAAACGTGTATTTCCCATGAAAATTTCCCCCGGAAAATCTTCGAATTAATTTTGCAAATAAACATTCCGTCCGCGTTTCTTTTTATACATTATTGGCTCATGTAGTAATCGTTGAATGGTCGTGATGTTTATCGCTCGACCGGATTGATGGATTGTACTATCAATCAATCAATGTATTGAAATGCAGCGGGCAAAAAAGTATTTCCTATACATATTTGCAATTTCACAATCGAACGATTTTATGTTTGAACGTGATCAAAGTCGGAAAATCGAAAACGTTTACCATTTTTTTTTTGGTTTCTGTTCGTTTGGTTCGAATTTTTCAGCGTGTTTCATTCCACAAATTTAAAAGCGTTTAAAGTTCAAACTATCGCGAGATTATCGTTTATATTATTTATAAATACCACAAAAAATATATTAAAATAATTCCATGAAGGCATTAAATCCATAATAATTTTATTCGAATGAGCTTCAATGTTTATAGCAGCACCTATCTATTGAATAATATACCATATGCAGGTAATAAAACAGGTTTAATGTTAAACACATTAGCGTATGGGGAATAGAAAGCATTAGCATTTATCAGATTAATGCAAAGCAGAATTCCCGCGAGAATCATATCCTCAAGTTTGGAGAAGATGCATCAACACTAGGTTAAGATATTGCATTCCTAAAAGCATATTCAAAACTAAATATGCATGTCTAATTTCGGTAAACTTTTTTGTAAATATTTCTACAAATAAACTAGAGATTCATCATCAAATTAGAATGTTAGATAGACCCAACTTGTGGGTATCAAATCCTCATATACTGAGGTTATAAATCGCTTCCACCATTTCCATTAAACTCTAATTTAGAGTGTCTACTAGCTGGTAAAATATAGACCAAAGCATCAATCTATCATTACCGATGGCTTCTAAACTTGGAATGTGGAGATTAGGGTCGTGACCTACAGGGCATAATTGGAAATAAATATCGACCTGACCTGCGTTAACTGATTTGACTTGCGAAAAATTTAATTCAAGAAACGGGTGAAGATTTAATAGATTGTTTGAGATGTTTGAGAGAATTATTCTAACTGTGTAGTTATAAAAAAAATACTTACTTCTGTGCTTTGTAAGACAGAGCATTGTAGTCTAAGTCCTGATCCTGGTTTTAGGTACTTTTCTGAAGGTCCCTGAATTTCACCTCTCGCTTCTGAAACAATAAAGTTTGAAATTAAAAAGGTTGAAAGCATACTAAGGTTATTTCTATTTAAAGCTAGTGAGGCTAAGTATAAAATTTGTTATAGCCATTAGTTTTAGTTCATTTTTCCTTTTTCGAGATGAGCTTTATAGCTTTGATTTATTTATAGTTGGCAGTGCCATTAGGCAAACAAGAAATAAAAGCTTCAACCTCACGAAGCTTAGGTTAAAAAATGCACCGGCGAAATATTTTCGCTCTCGATTCTGTTTGCGAAACATCAACCTGATGGGTAAAAAGAGCAGTTTTATTCTCCACGGCGTCTCGTTTCGCACTTACTAAGGCAATATTAAAGGTTATTTTCGAGAGCAAACGATGACACCGCTCTAAAAAGTGCAAACATTTTGACATCAAAGAGTAGTGTTTGTTCGGGAACGAAAATGTGTCGCTATTTTCCGAGGATTTTTCCTCGTTCTTATATCGTCTTGTTGTTCGCCTGCTTTCATCCATTGCTTGATAAAAATAAAAAAAAAACACTATGCAATATTTAATTATTAGTAATTTTTATTGATCCCGTCACTAAAGGTATTCAAAAACTTTAGTTTAATGTGTAGTATAGTAAAAAGTTATTTGATTATTACACTGATTATCTGACTAAAACTAACTAGAACTTCAGAAAATCTAGGAAGTTGGTTTTCCATCAAGACGGAAATTTGGAAACTTTAGCATTCGCCGGAGTTTCCAGCAGATAGCAAAGTCAACGTTCGATCGATTTAATCTCTAACAATTTTTAAATCCACGATAATTCTCTAGCAAAACACAAAAACATTTCCCAATTTGCAGCAACGCAAAAGCCCATTCGTTTGATTTCTCAAAGAGTTTCGTCTGCAGTGTACTTTGAGATCCTCGCGCTGGTTTACCGCTTCTTTATCGGAATGTATATCTAAATGAAATTTTTCCTGGTTTCGGCCGAAAGAGCTTTCCCGACTTAACGTTCAAATGAATTCGCAAACATTTATTGATACCACTTTTAACTTTCCCAACTCCAAAGCACCCCCTCAAAAACCTCTGGCAATAAGTTAACTTACAGTTAGGCGATTCAAGAAGAAGCATTAAGATGTAGCAATTTTTTTTATAATTAAATTATTTTAAACACACTTCAGCGAAGTTAGAGAGGAAATTTCATTTCCGCAGCGACATTTCGATGATATGGAATGTATGTATGATTGCGCAAATAGAAACAGTCTCTCATATTATTCGGGTTCTTTCATTTCGAGTGCTGCATTGTTTTCCAACTTAAATAACTCGAGGTTGAGTTTACAGCAACACAATGTAGGTATAGGTTTGAACGAAACCTTCGCATACAACGTCGCATAAATAGAATTAAGGACGAACAATGAAAGAATAACAACTCTTGAATTTAAATTGAGTCTTTTAAATCGAGAACTGAGCGTTCCAAAAGGAACTCCACGCCATTATTTATTGCACAAATTTATACCTGTTTATAATCCATGTTTGGAGTTACCATATGTTTGAAATTTTTCCATAATTTTCCATAATATGCTCGGAGGATTTCAACGCTAAATCCGCGAGAGGTCTGGCGGGAAATTCCTGTAATCTCAAGATTTGTTCAAAAGCGATATATTTCCCGTCTAATTTTAATTCAATTTCGAACAATAAGGGAGCTCATATTATTTTAGGCATCTCTGTCATCCCGCAAACATTCTGACGTTGTGATATTAGCGACCTAAATCTTAAGAGCTAATCCAGAATTCCCTGCTGGAAATTTGCACTGCAGGTAAGATTTTTTTAATGTTAATTTTTTTCTGTTAATATTAAACGCAGCGAAAATAGTTCCCGTCCGAATGGTATATTCTTTTGAATTTAATTAACGGGACTGCGGCGTTTTATCTTGAATTACGCTGCAATCTATCTGCCTTTAAAAGAGTAAAAATAGAGCGTAAATACGGCGAAACCGCCGGTTTTTCTTCCTCCACTCGCTTTTTCTTTCTTATTTTCCGAGCCAAAGATGGACTCCAATTCCCTGCCAGACAGAATAACGAAATACCGGAGGATCAGTTTCAAAACAACGAATTTAAAATGGATATAACCGAGCTCGCAAGGAAATAACGTTATTTCTAATACAGCCTCCTTCGGGCGATCCATGTTACTCTACCATCAGCTAATGAGGATTTGTGTATTGATCTAACTATAGAGAAAATATCCAGGAATTTTTACTCATCGATTTACAGTCAAAACTTACCGACTACATTTAGTCGAATGAAGATGCTAATGGGCGGATGCGATGAAACTTGGCACTCGTACAAACCGGCGTCTCTCTGCTGCACAAACTTGATTTGTAGCGTCCAATCCTGCAAACAACAATCGTCCATATTAATCGGGAACAATTCCAAAATGTTCTTGTAATAGTAAACGAAGGAATTCCCGACCAGCGTCCGGAAAATCGCGAAGTTCCCTGCTGAAACAACCCGAAACAATCTGAGCATGCACATGCGAAATTAATAATCGCATTGTCACCCAACCTATAATCTAAATCTTCCTGCACTGGATTCGACGGTGTAATAAACTCGGGGATTTTCGAACAACCGGAGCAACGATGACATTTCTCCTATTTACCATTCCTCTTGTCAGACCTGAGTCCGCAGCGCGAAACCGAGTGAAGGATGTTTTGTTCCTGCTACATTTTAATTAAGTTACAGGCTTCCCTTAATTATGGGCGGAGCGCTGCTCTGTTTGTAGTTGTCGAGGAGCGCCGCAGCAGCGCTGCAGATATCGCTGCGAAAAAAGGGAAATTTTCGAAGCTTCGAATCACTATTAAAGGTCTAGTTGGAGGCTCGATTTGGAGCTGCAGAAAAGGGATATTTCCGAAGCTTCGAATCACCATTAGAAGTCTAGTTAAACGCTCGATTTGGAGCTGCAAAAAAGGGATATTTCCGAAGCTTCGAATCACCATTAAAAGTCTAGTTAAACGCTCGATTTGGAGCTGCAAAAAAGGGATATTTCCGATGCTTCGAATCACTATTAAAAGTCTAGTTGGAGGCTCGATTTGGAGCTGCAAAAAAGGGATATTTCCGAAGCTTCGAATCACCATTAGAAGTCTAGTTAAACGCTCGATTTGGAGCTGCAAAAAAGGGATATTTCCGAAGCTTCGAATCACCATTAAAAGTCTAGTTGAATGCTCGATTTGGAGCTGCAAAAAAGGGATATTTCCGAAGCTTCGAATCACCATTAAAAGTCTAGTTAAACGCTCGATTTGGAGCTGCAAAAAAGGGATATTTCCGATGCTTCGAATCACCATTAGAAGTCTAGTTAAACGCTCGATTTGGAGCTGCAAAAAAGGGATGTTTCCAAAGCTTCGAATCACCATTAAAAGTCTAGTTGACCGCTCGATTTGGAGTTGTAGTCGATGAAGAGAATTTGGAGAAATGGAATCGGTGACGTTGAATGCAATTTCGAACGAAATTTTATCGGATGATAGAGGACTGGATGGAGTTTTGTATGTGCATTTAATTTCTCATTCTGTCCCCGTCTGCGGTTCGCGCTATCTCCCAGAGACATTCGACCCGGGCATTATTCCACTTAATCGAATCTCGCGTCCTGTCCACAGGATCGAATTCCCCGCGAAATCCCCTCGAATTTTGTTTTCCAGTGGTTTTTTTTTCGAAGTCTCTAAACCTAAACTGATTATTATCGAATTTAGGCGCGAATCGGCGCTTTAGTTAACTGCACTTTGCTCGAGATTGTTTTCTAGCTCCTCTTGAAAGTGTTTTCGAGTACTTCGAGGCTTCTTACAAACTCGATTGAACGATGAAATTTTATTAGAACCAATTTTAACTAGAAATTAACTGGATGATTAGAGTTGCAAAAAATCTGCTACATCCCTGCCTAATATTTTTATTATTCCATTTGCACCAACTTCGATATTTTCAGAAACTGCTTTCAACGAAATTTCGTTTCATCACGAGAAACTGCAATTAACGTTTGTGATAAACTATTGACTGAACTGGAGCGATTTGATTCATTTCGTTTTTGTTCTCTTATATCCTCCGTGTTTTTGATTATACCATCGCTTACTTTTGATCTTTATAAACGCAATATACTAGATATATTCCAATTTTTAGGCAGTGTTTGGGCATTCTTAAAAACCGCTGAATCTTCTTCACACCTAATTAGATTGAAGTGAGGCATTTCCTCGCTTGCAAAATAGCAGTTAGAAATAAACCGATCGTTTAAAGTTTTTCATCGAAAGCTTATCCGGCTAATGTTCGGCGTGTAACGTGATCAGCGTGCTCTCGACAGCCCAATCATAAATCAAATAACATGACGCCTTTGCCTTTCTCATTAACCGGGGCGGTTGGCCTGGAAAATGATTTTTAGCGGAAATTAATCGTCGAATCGGTCGGGAAAGTTTCCCCCGTTCGCCGACGAGCTGTTTGAATAAGATTATTCGAATTGCAGTTTCAATAGACATACCTGGGTGTTTTAGTTTCCTGTTTCTACCGCTGGATAGTTAAGCATCTGCAGAAGGGTTTTAATTAGAAATTTATTCAAGTTTATCTAGATACTTCCATGTTTCGTCGTCAAGTTTCAGCGCATTTTTCAATGATAATGCAGGTGTTAAATCACCGGAAAACGCCTAGTTTTTGGACAAATGTAACGAGAAATAATGCTATAGAGGGATCAGTCGAAAAAATACGGGGCTTCCAAAAACGTGTTCATTAGACTCCAAAATATTACACGAGGAGTTTGATATACGATCGGGATTTCGACTCCGGAAACTTCTTTTATTGCCGCCTTCTTTCGCACGGCTCCGCTTGAATAATGCGATCGGATTTTAAAAGTCACTTCACGGATGAAATAGGATTTTTGAATTTGATTTTGAGCCATCCACCTTTCATAATAACTCAACGGCTCCTTTTTATACGAATATTATTTCAAACATATTGAGTTTACACCGCTTGATACAGCCTATTTGAGCAAGAAGCAACATGTTCTTGTTTATTTTGCTAATTACTTATTTGTAGAAACCGAGATATCTAAATACACATATAATAGTATGTAAATATGAGAATTTACATGCGAAAATATGTTATACTTACTTCGGAATGTTGTAAATGAATGGCTTGAAATCTATCATCACTACTGTATGTAGTCAAACCGACTGTTAGGAGATGATAATCCTTTCTGCGTATCCAAGATACCTGAAACAATTCAATTAGAATCCTTTAAATAGGGTAATAATATCGATAATAAAGAACTTACCATTCCATCTCCAACGTTGTTAATAATACAGGGCACCAGCGCTGTGGATCCCGTTTGAGATGTAACGAACGAATTATTCTCGGTGACGAAATGCAACGGAGGAATCTCCAAAGGTGGAAAGGAAGCGCCCAATTCGTTCATTTCGTTCCCGTCCATTCGATTCGAGTCCGGTTCCTTTACTGCAAACAAACAAAAAATTCCGATTAATCGCGCAATTTACGAAATTTCCTGATGACAGGAGTTTTGTTCCTGTTGCCTCGTTAAAACCAATTACCGGGAGGACGATATAAATACAAAGACATGTTTTTAGACTTCAAGGAGATTACTGAAGAACGCCATTACTGTACCCTATTTCGAGGGCACAAATCCCGGCAGCGATTAGCCTGCCTCGACCTTTCTTCATCATTTAACCAGGCTCAGGCTAATTAGGGGGATATTCGAAACATTAAAGACCTGGAGTTTTTGCTGGAGTCTTTCGACGAATCGTCAGCAGTAGAAACACCACTAAAATATAGATTTATCGCACAAACTCCCGGTGTAAACACGAAAACCCCGAGGACGCTCTAAAACTCTAAAGTCTCTTTCGATTGTTGGTTGTTCGCATACAATTGGTTGGAGTGTCCTCATCGCAAATGAGTATTAGATAGCGTTTGGGTTAGAATGCTCCTGCGAAGACCGCAGATGTATCCAGCTGAGAAAGTGGTTTCAACTTGAAGTGAGGCTGTAATTAAATTACAGAAGCCAAACATACTTTCCTTCGTGTAAACGCAAAGTTAATTACTCAGTACATACACTTATGCATCTCCTGGATAATCCATCATTAAATTGTTATTCATAGTATCTGTTAGTAGTAGTATCACTTGCATATGCAAACCTTACTATTCTATAGTAATTTAATGTTATTAGTACATTTTGTATTGGTATAGATAATCTTGGTTAAACTATACAAGGTACAGTAATTTAAATTGGAGTTAAATTCCAAGGTAAGCCTGGATATCGGGAACTTCGTACCTGGAAACCCGCACAGCCGTAAATATGGCTTTCCAGAATTCCGCAGGCTAATCCAGTGCCGGGCAAACGCAATTACTACCTTCTATCAATATCTCCACAATATAACTGCAAAGATTGAAATATAACGAAGTAATAAGTTGCCGTGAAATGGTAAAACTTCGGTGGGAGTTAATCTTTGGCAAATTTAATTATCTCTCGGATGATTTCTCGGGAATACTGGTAAATGGGGAATCTATAAAAGCCATCGGATAGAACTAACAAAAGTTATATTATATCGTTATATATCTATTATATCGTTATATATCTAAAGCCGTTTGAATTGATTGCGGCCAATTTCAACCTGAATGGAATGAAAAGAAACCAGCTTAACAAAATGGTTTGAGAAAGTAGCCATACACACTGTAATGGAATAATAGTATGAGAATTGGATTCTGGTTTCGCTAGTAATAATGGTATAATCATTATCATAAAAATATCTCTCGAACTTCATTATAGAGGAGTGTTATAAGAAATTAATGGAACCATTAGAGATGTTAAAGTGCAGCAATATGCAACAAATACCTATACCAGAATTTATTGGCAATTACAGCAACTGCCAAGATAATCCAAATAAACAGATTATTTCAAAATCAAAATTATTGATGTAACGCACGTCAAATTAGAATTGATAACGCAAATAGCCTTTCAGATATTCGCATGGGTTGCAAATTAAATTCCGAATTGGTATTCAGAATGGAAATTTCACAATATTTCTACCTATTATTCTAAATAACTAATTCTGAATTGTATTTTGATCGAACCGAATTCGATATTTACAGGTCATTTTACTTTATTTGAATTCACTTTGCTATTTGATATGGGTATTGATTGTTGGTGCAAATTATGAATAATCAATACTTTTTACAAAAGTAAACATTTAACAAAATTATGATATTTACAAAGGGCTGTTTTAATTGTTTATGGACGAATGAAGGAATAAAATTATACAACAGGAGGGTAAATAATTAGGTTAGGCAGGTAAATTTAAATATACATATGTACATAAAAAAAGGGCGGTAATCCTTTTACCTTCGAAAAATTCAGGTTTAACCTTAAGTTATCTTCTTGATTGGGCAATAAACATATTTTCAACATTGTGTGTAAAACCGGCATTAGCGCCACTGGGGTGTTTCTGAATATGAAAAATTCATATAATTTCTACCATTTCCTCAGGAGCGGGTTCCATTTGCATATTTTTTCGTTTAAATTACTCCCGATGTATTTTAGAGGAATATTTGCATACGGACGTGAAAATTCGTTTCACTTCCCTTCATATCACCCGGAGTGTGGCCATTTTAGAATCACTTTTAGGTGAAACATAGAAACAGACTACCTGCATTGCATAAATTCAAAAGTTTCAATACTTTTAACAGGTGAATAAATAGTTAAATAAGAAACCCGATTATGCAACTCAAACATGACATGTTTGAATACAATATTCATTATATCGTTTCAGCAGTGAAATTATGATCCATTAGAGCCGGGACTTCTTGGAAGGGACCTCGGAAACTCGCAAAGTTTCCAATATAATTACGCGGGAGTTGAATAGACGCAGTCCAATGTGTTATTCATGAACTTAAGCTTATTCTGTTTAGGTGTATACTCGTTTGATTTATATCTCTCTATTGGAATAATTTATCAGGGCTTATGTAAACATAACACGCTAATAATTGATAAATTGGCGATGGATTTCGAGCAATTTTTCATTCAGCAAGTATTTAACAAGGTTTAGAACAAACGAATCAGTTCTATTGTGAGACAATTTACGTTGATTCTTTTAAAAAAAAGCTTTTAATTCGGCAGCGAGTTAATGGCGCAGGTTCCATTCGAAAAAGGCATTAATCTATCTGTTTCGTTAAATGAAGTTTTTATTTGAATCTTATCCATTCGACGGCAGGTAATTACTCGGGAGCCGATCGGCGATCGTAATTTTTCAAAGCTTTTTCGAACGTTTCAAAAGCTGCTCATTGTTCACGGGGAATCCAAAAGGTCCACATTGTTTCGCTAATGGAACTCAGGTCTTTCGTCCTGCGTCTATGCCACTATGTTATAAATCTTATACAATTTCCGACGCCGGATAATGTTTGGTGAATAATGCTTTCGCTATATAATGCTATTTGTATGGAATTAATACAAAACAGGATTTAAATTGTTCTATTGAAAGCAGGAGTACTTTTCATGTAAATAGGTGTTATGTAAACGTGAAAAATTCAGTTTTTATACAACCTTTGGTTTAAAAATGCATAAGGTAGACTGGGGCAAATCGGTTGTAAAATTTGAATAGTTTAAATTAAATCCTAAAATGTGGATTTATTTTTTCTCTTATTAGAAATGCTGATACCACATTAAATTCACAACTTCCTAAACTAAAGAATCGAGGTATTAAAAAGTTTTTTTTGAAAAAGGAAGAAAACGATTTTACATAATTTTTAAAATGTTGACAATATGTTACATTTACCCTATTACATTTACTCCCGTTCTAAAGTGCAATACAATTATATAGAAAAACATATTGGGCAATTATAAATACATATTTAGTTCTTCTAAAATTTGATATGCTGTTTATTTATTTATTTCAAAAAATAACAGAGCTACAAAATAATAAAGGAAAAAATAAGAAACAAACCCTGTCTAATGCACAAAAGAACTATAAAAATAATAAAAACCATTACCATAATAGGTAAAAATATTACATTTACCCCATTTTTACATTCACCCCAGTCTACCTTACTTAGAAACTTTTTGATTATTAAAATAATCGATTACTTCAAGTTAATTTCGTATATTCCCGTTATCCTTGAGGTATCCGGTGCATCCAACTAAAATTTCATCCATCAATAATTAAAAGTTTTTGTGTAGTTGCCCGGATTTCGCATCATTAATCCGTTTTTCGCGGAAAATCCGAAAAGCAAACTTTAAATTGCTTCCGTACTAAATACTTCCTCAAAATACTCTTACACTACGCCTGCAAGGAATTCCAATCACCTGGTAAATCGTTCTTTAACAAAGAGGAATATTTAGGTAAATTATATTGAATATTCCACCAAACCAAATGAGTTTTTTTCCGTTGTATAATTAGGGTAAAACGTGTCGGATGCAACTCATATTTCGCTGGTAGGACAGCAGAAAAGGGAGCGAGCAATAAGCATATATACCGCACAAAAATAATATATTTTCCAGCATATCCTACTTAAGATGTAGAAGTGCACGTAACGCCCATACATCACCTACATTAAAACGGTTCCAAAGCTGGAGGGAATGTGTTCGGAATAAATGGGACTCGTGCTGTTTCAAACGGCTATTCATATTTTCAATTAACTGCCGCCCAACTCATAGGAAATTCTTTACATAACGCCACGCCGATGCACTACATTATATGTTTAATAAAAATTCCCGTTTTATTTTTAATCCGGAACACAACCCGCCGGCGTTCTTTAATAATCAGACAATAAATTATTCAGTACATATAGCACCTTGGTAATTCGTAGAATTTATCTACTACAAATTCAACTAACAGTAATAATTCTTTATTGTATAGTGACCACAACACCATCCATAAAACACACAATTCATTTCCTTATTGCGGCGGTTGAGTCTCCTTTAGTAGGTAATTTGAAAGCCCAAGTTTCCAAGTTAAAGTTAGATCAATCCACGAGAAGTTCACTAGCTGCAGCTAATAAAACATCTCGAGCGGCGTTTCAAAGAGGAAATAATTAGCAATAGTGGCGTATATCTTGCACAAGCTGCCTCTAACCTTAATTACGCGGAGAATCGAGTTCTATTTTCCAGCGAAAATATGGCTTTGTGTGAGGAATGTGTGTTGCGTAATTATGCTGAATAAAGGGAACGAACAGGTTTGTAAGAATTATTCCGAATGGAGGTCGCCCTGTAAGAGTTAATAGAAAAAATTGTTGCTATATCCAACGGGATAATTGCCTTTTATATTACTCGAATTGCGAATTCGTTGTGAAATTTAATAAAGGATGCGATTTAATGACCTATTTTTTCGCCTTTCAGAGTGCATTTCATCCGCACAATTACCGTAATTTGTAAGATTGGATAGACTTTTTGTGGAAATCGGTCGATTTCTCGACTTGCTCTGATCGAGTTAAATACTGAAGGAAATTAC